GACAAATGGTCAAAATACTCTTTCAGGAGAGACTAATAGATTTGTGAATTATTTGGTCCCTGCAAGGAATGGAGTGGCCAATTGCTTATACAACTCTTAGGGAGGTAAAAACGTGCATGACCAACCAGATACGAAAAATAATGGTGAAAAGTCAAACAATAATTGAGTTCTTGTAAGAAGAAAGACTGCACTGTTCTTGAAGGAGATAATACTCATTCTCTTGCATGGAAGCTATAAAAGTGCTGGTGTGCTAAAAATGAAAAAAATACGGAAAGACCACCAGTGAAGAAAAAGGTGAAGACAGTGTATAAGGACCTTTTTGTGGTGAAGTCAATTGCGTCGCAATGGAGAAACATAGGGCATGAGAGGAGGAAATACGCGAGAGAACACCCCGCACAAGAGGGTGCAGACATCATGCGTGTGCGAACGAGTGAAAGTGGCAGCGGCCAAGACAAGGCCCTAGCGCCTTTGTTGCGCATCTTTGAGATTCTAGAGCACCAGGACTTCTGAGTTCAAGGGCCTGCTTCTTCAGGGAAGGAGGAGTAGGATTGCTTTGAGGGTCGACCCGTGCCTTCAAGCAGTAGGTCATACTCAGCGAACGGCTTTCAGCTGCCACTGTCAGCTACTGAATGGCGCCAGATAGTATCAGCAGCAGTTAGAGAAGAGAGGGGGTATTGGAAAGATCAATTATGTGCTGCACCTAACTCCTCCAAGTGATATGTCCGTTTTCATTGGTCAGCCACCATGACAGCCGTCGGGTTTGTGCAAAGTACATAATTGTACCAGGATAAAAAACATCATCTAAATGAGCGATCCGGTTTTGTCCTGATTTTGAGCATTTTTTTGATCGATTTTGAGATTCAAAATGGACACTTGATTACTATGCGTGCTCAATCTTTCGTTTTAACAAGATTGCTAGACTAGAGCAAGCCGGAATGGATCAAGGGGTCGCTTATGGCTTCTACTGAATTTAAAAAATCGGTCACAAACGGAAAGAAAAATTCTGCAATGGATACTACAAGCACTAGAAAAGATGAAATCCGAATATTCGAAAAAATCGAAACAAATAAAATGACAAAATGATTTGAATGCAATGTGCATAGCGTATTTAGAATTCGCGACCATAACTACCTTAGTGGTTATATTGTAGGCGGACTTTGGTGGTGAATAAGGTCGATCCGGCATCGGTTGGCCGTAGATATCGGCGAGATGAGGAATGAACCTTTCTGGAGGCGGCGGAGCGCGGATCTACCATATACCGCGATGTAATCGTAGTAGTTTTCCCATCATCAGCACAACACACAAACTCTTACCACTAGATCAAAACTAATCAATAAAATCAATTACTTACTCGTTTGCTGAAACTGGAAGTCACGTGTTTCGCAGCTTGTGCTTGCTGAACGTTTAAGTTTCTCGCTTTTGTGATAGTGTCTGATCTAAAAACACGGAGAATAGTTAGCCTTTGAGCCTATTTCTGATGACTTAAAGGCTGGTCTGGGATTTCTTGTTTAGAAAAACTTTTCCCTCAGAAAAAATGCAGGTATCGTCAAGCGGGAGCGCTGATAACACAAATGCTGGATCGTATAATGTATGCTATACGACGTTATAAGGACTTAGACCGACGTCATAGTCGGCGACGGACCAAGCGATGGAGCGATCGCGATCGCTCCATCGCTTGTCCGTCGCTTGCCAATCGCTCTCGGTCGAGCGATTGGCAAGCGATTGCGCAATGTGCACAAGCGACGGGCGATTGGCCCCGCCCCCAGTCAATGCAGTCGGCTGCGGTATCGATCGAGCAGAGCCATTGCCCGTCGCTTGTGCACTTTGCAAGCGATTGCGCAATCGCTTGCCAATCGCTCGACCAAGAGCGATTGGCAAGCGACGGACAAGCGATGGAGCGATCGCGATCGCTCCATCGCTTGTTCCGTCGCCGACTATGACGTCGGTCTAAGAGAATTGTAATAACTTCTCCCACACCAGCACCCAAAAATTAGCTCCACTACAAATCGTGCTTATTTTTGCTTTCGCGCCATAGAGAAGGGGCTTTATTTTCGTTCCATGATTTCCCTTACCCGTTTTTTTGTTTTCGTTCCTGATTAGTGCCCTTTCATTCTCCACTGATACAAGCGTGATAACACATCAGCTTGATCTGGATTATTTTAAAATGGGTAGTTGACTTACCCTGAACTGCTGATCGTAAATCTTTGGCGTTTCACTGCGCAGGAACTTCTCCTTGTTGACCTGTAAAATGGTACTGTTGCTCGTGTTTGGAGAACCTGATGGCTAAGTGGTACCTTAATTGGAGCAGACGGTGGGTTAGGAATATGCTGCTGAGGAGCGACCTGTGGAGCCTGTAAATATGAAGATTTGAGATCACGACCTTCCCAGAGTAACTGGCAGTTGCTCTCACCTGATGTACTAGGTTAGGCTGGAATTGGGTATTGACAGTGTTTGGTGGAGGGAATTGCTGCGTCACCTCAGCCGATTGGAACTGTGGGAACTCCTTGAATCGAAAATAATGCTGCTGCTGTTGCTGCAGTACTGGTTGCTGCTGCAATGCTGGCTGCTGGACTTGCTGGGGTGGAAAGGCGACCATAGGACGAGCGAAGACCTAAACAAAATACTTAGAACCTCATAGTGGACAAAATTCAGTGTGATAATTGATTCCATAACCTTGTTGTGATAGGAGCAGGGCCAAAAAAGTGTCGTTTTTTGGACGTATATAGGAAGAAATTTCCAGTGAGGAGTCGTAATTTTGAGTCTGAGGAGTGAGTGGTATTTTTAGAACAAGGGGTTGTACTTTTGAACGTTTATGGAGGAAGCAGATTCCAATTTTCGTAAAGAAATATAGAGAAACATAGATCCCAAAATATCGTTCCTTCAACGCTTACAATTACAACCCTCCGCTCGGGCAATGGTAGTGTGTGTGGGGACGGAGGGGGGATTGTGGCTTTGAGGGCATAGTCTCGATTTGCGTCACGATAAATCATTTAATTAGACATCTTCTTCCGTGAGAGAGGGAGAGGGGGGCTTCTATTTTGAACAGTTCCTTAACATAACGCTTGACCCCGGCCTACATTCAGCGCTTTCGATCAAGGCGCAACAGGGTTGGCAATGCGGGTAGAGCCGCAATTGCCCGCAGTGCTCGTCAGGATCGAATACTGGCTGTATCGCTGGCTCATCGCCTACCTTTGAGCCCCATTGAAAGATGCTACAAAACTAGTCGAGGAGGAAAAAATGTTATGCAGGTGGGCATCCATGTGTGGCTACTATTGAAGCAACACCCCAGACCAAAGTTGTGGAATCACA